ATTATTGTAGTCCTCATATGAAGTGAAACTTGAAGTAGAATGTAAATTAATAACTAAGGAGGAATAAAATGAAGCTATAAAACTCGGCTGGACCTACCAAAAGCTTATCGCCATTTAGGGACTAAGACTTATGAAGTGAAACAAAACTATGTATAAAGCCAACTCAAAAACATATAATCATCTATTTTTTGAAACATGCTCAACATATAAAAATGCACGGCCCAAATATGGCAAACTCTAAAAGCAACTGAGAAATACAAACAAATTAAGATTTAAATGCACGTAAGGCATTGCATAGCTAAAAGCGCCAAAAACCAATTACTCATAGTTAGAACTGCTCCGATAGGACTTCACACAAATACTTTGCAATAGTATCTCGAGAACTCCTGACCGTTAATCGGTACATCTAAAAAACTTTTTTATTGCAATTTGAGAGGAAAAATTTTAAATTTTTTACACAACATAAAATAAATGGAAGGAGCCTTCACTACAAGTAACAAAAATACAACAAATACTGAATCTGCTTGAAATTCACTGAAAATATAACCTTTGCCGCTTTATTCGGTTCTAATCGAATAAGCGTACCGATCTGCAATGTCTTCGTGTTGATAATACCCGCGCAAACAAAGTTTTCTGGGTTCGGATCAACTCCGACAAGCAATTTTGCTCCCAAGCCAACGAGCTGCAAAAATTAATCAAATGATGACATTAAACGCAGCAAAAAGCGCTCAGTAAAGAATCTAGAGTTGACCACTAACAGAAACCCAGTGAAGTGTAAATTAAAAAATAGTACAGAAATGCACTAGAAAGTTACCTTAGTTTTAATCTGTTCATTGTCAATAGCCACCTTTGCCTGGAATATCTTCTGGCTTTCTTGAGCAGGGCTAAAAAGATTTCAAAAATGTGCAACGAAAAAAGCCGTTTTAACGAATAAAAAAGCTTACTGAGCCAGTTGTTTCCACCGAGCAAAGAACTGTTCAGATGTCATGTCAGTGGGCTCGAAGAACTTACTCACAAAAATGGGTAAAGCAAATACTCTCTGGAAGTTCTGCGAGCTTCCGAGTTGGTCTCTAAAATCATTTTCCAATCAGCATAAAGCGTTTTGTAAGAAAATACCTGACAATGATTATTTTACGAATAACAAGAATATTTAAACCAGATATTATTTTCTAATCTCCATTTGAAAACTGACACATAAATGAATGAGAGATGCAGCAAAGGGTTATTTGTGAACTCGCTCTCACATACAAAGTTTATAAGTTGCTGAACCTGTGAACCGCCAAGAATAGTGCTATCTACAGGCTTACACTGAAACTTCTTACTTTAGTACTTTAAAAAATATAAACACAAAAAAGTATTTAAGCCAATAGAGTGCAAAACTAGACCTGTGCAATAAGCTGAGACGTTAAATTGTCTGGAAATGATACTGACGAGTAAAAATTAGTGAACGCAGCACTTGTCTTATTCCCATAAAACATACCCAAACGTCCCAAATTCGCTCGAGTTTCTAGTTTATAACCTATTTGAATTACAGAGTCTTCGTACAAGACACCATTGCTTTTGGTCAGAAACCTAAAAAAAAAAGCCAACTATATAGAATCTGCACTTTCAGCTACCAAAGAGAGGAAATTCCAAGATTACTTGAGCACGTCTGGGTAGTTGTCAATGTTTAAACTGCCATTTATTGTAGCAGTAGTTGAAACACCATTGCTTAGTGCTGGTGTTGAGTTTGCTGGAACGCCAAATATATCAACAAGAGCATTCGCATCGGACTCTCCACCTGTGTCAACCAATTGCGCTGTTTTATGATCGTCATACAATACCCCGTCCTGAATGTAACTTGGTTTCAATTAAGACTATTGAAGTTGAATTTATAAAAAAGCGTGTGAAAAAATTTTTAAAAACCTGGTTCATAATTGCTTGTGGTCGCTGCTTCTTCTCAGCAGTCTGGTTTTCCAATTCTTCAACGTGAGGCTTAGATTTCTTCAGTTTTGCTAAGAGTGAACTTTCCTTCTCTGGGAAAGGAGGCATCTCTTCCAAAATCTTTAAAAAAATAAAAGACACGCAAGACTGATTATTCACTAGTTTGAGACCAAAACCATATTTAGGAATTAAGTTCAGATAAGCTACCGTAGCAAGAACGTCAACTGTAGCAATTCGTGATAATTGGAAGTATTCTACAGAGCGCTGCTGCAATTCAGCGTCCGGATTTCTCAAATTGTGGTCCGTACGAAAAACCTAAAAAGTAGACTGCTTATCACGATGATTCCTGAACCCGACAATCCACAGTAGTCTAAGATATTATAGAAAAAGAATAAAAGAGAAAACTAATACTAATAAAAACCTACTTCTTGAATTGCTCCTTTAATTTCAGGAAAAAGATTGCAAAATTTGACGTATGTTGATAACAAAAGACACCTGGTAGCAATTGAGCATAAGTGGTATTTGCTATGCAGAAGTTCAAATTGAACTTGGGGGCTAAAATAATTCAAAATTTTTTAACCTATTACTTAAAATTCTCTAACTGTGAACGACAGAAGGCTAGAATTCTGAAGAACAAAACCGAAAACTTACGACGATCGTGGATCGCCAGCAATGAGATTACCGAATTCCCCTAAAATGTAACCACCCACCTTCACCATGTTTTCGTGACAAGCTGGCAGCTAAAAAATAAAAATTTGGAATAGAAGAACTTTAGAATTCAAACATCCGCTTAAAAGATGTGTTCAACGACCGTAAAGGAAATAAAACTAACGGACATCTATAAGAAAAAAGAAAGTCAAAAGAAGTTCAAAAACCATGGATAAATGAAGGTAGACTGCTATTTACACATTAGGTCGACATACCTGTAAGGCTTCAAAAACTGTTTTAGCAGCGTAACCCTGAACGTCTTCTCGATTTACCACAATTTGTATCACTCGATACCATACTTCCTCAGAAACATAGTCACCAGCAATGCGAATTAACTTAAGAATCACATCAACATACCACGTGTAATCAGTGGCGTATTTTTCAGCTAATATAGCGACTTTCAAGACCTGGAAGCAAAATTCCAAACAACTCCTCGTTTGAAACGGAATTGAAAAAAAGCTAACCATTTCTTCTCTTATAGAGTAGTCAGCGGTTTCCAAATAGGACAACATTTCTTGAACGATTTCAGATGCATTCATTCTAAAAATTAGAAGAATACACTAGAAGTTGCAATAAAAACAATGGCTAAGTTACTGTAAGAAGGAAATAGTGACCATACCTGTCGCACATTGCGTAAAGTAGATCAACAGCCCGTTGTCTTACAGAGACATCTCTCTCAGTTTTTAAACTGCTAATTATAGTTTCTTGGTGTCGCTTTACTGCTTCATGTGAAAATTCTGAAGTTGCCAATAAGCACATCGATTCCAACGCTAAATATCTAAAATACAGGTCCATCTTAAACAGTGGAAACCAGTACGCTTCTAAGCTGTTAAACTAAAAATCGTTTCAACAATAAAGGTAACATCCATTTTACCTAAGATTAGTCTCACGATGAGAAAGGAATGTTCCTAACTGGTTACAAGCGCGAACCAGTAAGCTCGGCTCATTGTCCATGTGAATCACTAGCGCAATAGACTCAAAAAGAACAGCATTTTTAGCGTTCGAATGCTGAACTTTTTTGGACTTTGGAGCATCCATTGCTTTGTTCAGTATACCCTCTAGACATTCCATTAGTCGTGACCTGTTACTTGGATCCTCTAAAATGCACAAAACAATTGGAGGTAACAGTAACAGTAAACAGGGTTAAAATCTCAACTACATGCTTATTTCGAAACAAAAAAAAACATCAAAAGTCCCAAAAAAAACCCTTCAGTTAAGTCTGAATGACAAACGAAGAACCTGGCGGAGGATAATTCTGTAACAATCTTAATAATTTGACGCACAGCCAAGGAGCAGGAACAAAATAGTATGTGTAATCCTGAAGGTCTGTGTAGCCAGAAGTCACGATCTAAACAAAAGCATTTTTCCGTAATACTTGAAATAAAAAGTATATTAAAAATTAGAACTCACCCTGCTAAGTCTTGATATAGCTAAAGAAATACATCCCTTATACTCTTCAGGCCACTTTTTTGATAGAGCATCAATTAAAGACGCGGCAGAAGTGACTACTCCCTAAAAATTTGTCTATCTTCTTGTCCAAAAGAGTGAAGAAACAGAATTTCCAAGAACAATTCAACAAAATGATTTAAGGAAGGAAAATGCACCAAATGTTGGTCGTTTAACAAGTGGACGATGCGGGACGCGTATTCGTGTGGAGGTACAAGTTCTGGACATGTCCGAAACAGTTTTAGCAAACACAGAGCTGCACTCTGCTTGACAAAGTCGATTGTATCACTGCAATAAGAAAATTTTAACAATGAACTAAGCGCCTTAAACAAAAAAAAAAAAAAAAAAAAAAAAAAAAAAAA